GATACATTTGACAGAATCTAACAAGCACACTCGAGTTAACCGTACTATATCTGCCTCTATGAGGGGACAATTTGTGCATACCAAAGCAAAGTTGGTGACAAAGCCTTTACAGGATAATGCCTATAAGCGAACTTCATATCGGCGGAATCTACTAAATAGGGAGCAACCGGAACAAAAAAGCGCCCAAACAATTACTCTAACTTTGATTCCATCATCAAGTTCTGCTTACCCAAGTAGCATAAATCAGTCAACTTCTTTCGGTGTCAACCCTACAAATGAAGCCGTTTTGAGCAAAAACGAAGGCCGAAACTGTGACAATAGCGCTCTTAAAAGCTCAGGGCCTAAAGCTCTGAAAAGTCACATGTTCTCTGGCCATTTAGACTCAAATTTTAAGTTGAGCCAGCAGCTGGCGGTTGATACCTCCTTAGGTCGTAAGGACCTAGTAGGGGATGAAATAAAAGAGGCTGAGGATGAGCCTCAAATTATAATTGGAACAACTTCAGCAGTAAAGGAGAGCAAGTTGTTTGAAAAAAAGCCGGTTCCAGTCAGCCATTTTGTCATGAGAAGCGCCGAGTGGGAAGGAATGATGGTGAGTTATGGCAATTATACAAACAAAAAATGATAGCTCATTTTATTTATCAACCTGCCACCCCCTATTACACTATCTCCATGGGCGTAGCTATCTTAACCGCATAATTAGTTAACATTTTATAATCCTGCTTATTTGGATACATAAAATAGTGGACCTCATCCAGTTTTGTAGTTATTAACTTTATTTGCCAAGTAATCATTACTTAAGCCTAGTTTTATGTATCTATAAGTGGTTAGATGGAATTAATCATTATTCACTCCCAGAGGAAATAAAAAATAAAATAAATTTATTTATTTATTTCAATAGTTCTACGAGGTGACAGCCGCTTTCTTATATGGCCTAGTATAATCTAATGGGATCGTAAATTAATGGAGTAACTGGGGGAATCTGAAATAAGTCTTCATTCTCTAAGAGTCTATTATCTGGATTACTTGCTCAAGGTCAAAATTAAGCCATTACGACGAAATAAATTCATAGAACTCATTGAAAAGAAATTTCTAATAATCACACTTTAATATAAGTAATAAAAGACTATTAGTTGCATTTTTCCACAGTTATATGAATATAGCTGATGTTTCCATTGAATTTCACATAGCCTTGCCTTCCCAAAAGTTGCTTTTATCCAGGGTGGACTGCAGTTTCG